CAGATCAAAGATGCCAAAGGATAAAAAATGATTTGAGATAGGGATAAAGTTATCGCTAGCATTGCATTAGCATACCAGCAACTGCGCTACGTGAGGTTTTAAATAAAGACATCAACGTGCAATATTTTGCATAGCGTTAGCGTGCCAGCAACTGCGCTAGTTAACGAATTAAGGTTTGAATTGCTACCTCATGCATCCTATTCACCAGATTTAGCCCCTCGGATTATTTTCTGTTTCCAAACTTGAAAAAATGGCTCAGTGGTCAAAGATTTTCCAACTTTGAAGAAGTGATGTCGGCAGTTAATGGCTATTTCGAGGAGCAAGACAGTTCTTATTATAAAAAGGGTAACGAAGTTATTGAACATCGCTTGGAAAAGTGCTTAGAGCTCAAAGGAGATTATTTTGAAAAATAAATACATTTTTTTACAAATTTTTTCTTCGTTGGATCGAGGACTTCTGGGACCACCCTCGTACTTCACAAGCTGTACACCTTTTTTGTATGTTTGCTGTGTTTGGTACTGATATCCCTATAAGATGTATTATTATTATTATTTTTATATTATTATTTTATATATTATATCAGACCTATGAGAAAAGTCAAATTATAACTTTTTCTATTTTATTCTTTTGAATGCCAGACCTCAAAAGGGTTTTATTAAGATACCTGCACCACTGATCTGCGCCCTCAAGCGAGCCCTGAAAAGCCTAAGTTTAATGAAGCCGTCTGTATTTTCTCTGTTTCGTCTGATTTCACGCTACTGGGTTAAATTAATTTAACCTATATTCCTCCTCCTTGCTCTTTACCTCCGACTGGAACGGGTTGGCTCTGTCCATGTTTTACATTTTACTGATACCTGCGTCAATTACACGCTCATTTAAACATATTTTATGATACTGGCAATTTCATTTTCTCTCTAAGTGATTCGGCTCGCGATAATTGCCAAAGCTAGGATAGCCAAAAGTAGTACTACCGATACGAGTATTAACTGAATAATTACTCTTAGATCAAGACACGGTATTTCGAATTGATTAAATTTATTAAGTGACATTTAAAATGCAAGACCCAGAATCATTTATTGAATTTGATAAAAATTCGTAAGTATACGCTGATAAAATGATGAAGGCATTCCGATCCGTACTTTTTTCGAAAAGGCTTTTTTATTATATCAGGATCTGAACAATATATATATATATATATATATATATTATATATATATATATAATTTTTCTTAGTACCATATACACCAATGTCTTAAGGGAACCGAGATAAAGGGCTCTGCAACATCAAAAATATCTGAATACCGTCCTGTAGCCGCGACATCACCGACTGGTACAAGGTCACTGGCTCAACCCGATGACATAACTGGGCCGGGTCAGTGTGTCAGGTCAGTATGCAACCTTCAACCGCCGGTTACGGTCACGCATGTAGAGGTAATCGCGTAGACGAGAATCCCTCAACAAGCACTAGAGACGTGGCTAGAGAAGTGCAAGTATCAAAAATTAAAGTGTGGCAAACGCTGCGTGAAGAGGGGCTGTATCCGTTTCACGTCCAACGTGTACAAGCCCTTCAACCTGACGATTTTCCAGCAAGAGTGCGGTTTTGTGAGTGGTTGTTGCATCAACATGACAATAATCCGGACTTTTTGAAGTGCATATTGGTGACAGACGAATCTACGTTCACGCGTAATGGGGTGAATAACTTTCGCAACACTCATGTTTGGTCAGTAGAAAATCCGCACGCTGTCCGTCGGGCACATTTTCAACTTACATTTTCGGTGAATGTTTGGGCTGGCATGGTGAACGGTATGCACATTGAAACATTTATTCTCCCAAATCGATTGGACGGGATGCAGTACCTAGACTTTTTACGCAACATTTTGCCTTCCTTGTTAGAAGATGTGCCATTAAGTGTAAGACAATCAATGTGGTTTCTGCGTCTGCTCGGTAGCGCATCAGCTGATTTCATTTTCTGTTGGAGCGGTATGATTTCGGGCAGAGACGTACTTAGCCCTTCTCGTCAACTGGAGAGTGAGTACTTTTTCCTTTATTTTTTTTTACTTGGTCGCCCCCGGTTCACTACACATTACCTTTGTTATTTCAAGTTTCAAGTTGTTTCTGAAAAGGAAAACCCCAACTTTGCGGACACCCTGTATATATATATAAATCCTCTGCACAGGTTAGGTGATAAAATACTCATACTTGAGATATCTGCCTGCACAGACAGTTGAAGAAACTTTATTCCACACTCAACTCATTCAAAAGTGACATAATTTCTTCCAAGTCTCCATTAATTTTCAAATCTAGACAACTCAGACATTACAATAAAAATTTTCACAACATTAAGAACTCTGTTCGTAAGTTTGAGAGATTGTGCCAAACTGGATCAAGAATCTCAGTAATGTTGAAATCCCTAATGACATTTTAAAATGTCTTTCCTTGGGGCCTAAGTTCAGTGCGGAGCCGATTGTTAACAGTGACATTTCAATCAGATCCATCAGAGCTGATGTCGACATAATAGCATCCTCCGTAAGTGATGACAGTGAAAGAAACATTATCACAGCAACAATTTTAATAAAAAACATTCCTTTTATCACAACCTTGTAAACAAAACTAGAAAATTTCTAAAACAACATCTTGGTTGCAAACTCTTTATAACAATCTTATCAATGATGATCCATCGTACCACGAAATTAATAGAGATCCTACATTAAAGGTGCTAAAAGAAGAGTAATGACATTGTTAAGGAACTCATCAGCACTGGACAAATAATCCAAGAACAAAAAGGAACTTTGACTACCTATAACACTGTCCCTTCTAATTCTATGCACTTTCAAAATACATAAAACTGTACCCTCAGTAAGACACCATCTGAGGTGATTTGGCAATGTAGCACACGCTAAAAGAATTTTCGTTCCATCATTCTACACGGACACTGCTAACCTTCGGCCATCTGTCAAAAGGTTCATCTTACTCATGATTCTATGCCCACCATCTTGTGCAATCATCAAGTGGCTTCACGATGTAAAGCTTAACTTTAACTTTAAATATTTTTAATCTGTTTTTAATTTGTTCTTGTCATACAGCTGTGTGTAGTTTGTATCATTTTGACCATTGTACCATGTGTCCAGCTTTCACCATGTTACTGGGTGTTTCCCTCATCCTTAACGTAATAACATTTAGCAACGTCCTCACATACGACTGTAAGTTAATTTAAATTCATTTTACACAATTGTTGCCACTTTTATTAATGTCATTGCAGCTCCTGATGATGATGGCAAAGACCATTGAAAGCTAGAGAGATTAAAAAAGTATGAAGACTCCTCCTTACTTAAATTTTGTCGAAGTACCCAACAAAAGGCGGAAGCCTTAACTTTCACCTAACTGGTCTAGACGACAATGACCACGTCTCAATAATATATATATATATATTATATAAAGAGAAACTGATCATGCGGAAATATGTATATAGCAAATCGAAAAATTATGTGCAAATGCCGTAAGAAGGAGAAAGTGAATTCGAGCAGAAAATAGGATAGGTAACCCGAGCGATACGTAATTCTGCTTGCTGGCTTCATCAGGCCCGGAATGAATCCACATATTATGCAACAAGAAAGTAGATACGCGTCCCCATTCAACTGGATACGCGTGTGACCTGAGGAAACGAGGTAACGCCTCACCTTATATATTCATCGAAACAGTTAGTACAATTAAAGGAATGAAGATCACAGAAAAATATAGTACGTTCCGGGTATATGAGCTTTCGATATAATTAATTAACATTGTCAAGTATACAAATCAGGTTCAGCTCTCGGTAATACAAATCAGTTCATTTCCACATTGGAGCAGCGTGCATATCGTATGCAGCGTCCATGAGCGAAAACAACGCTGGGTGAATTTCGAATAACCGCGGCCAATTTTGAGCTGTTCGCGGAGGCGAAAAGCCGAAAACACGTGTAGCAATTTTTAATTCATGCCTGTGGCATGCACCACTTTGTCATAAAATATGTTTGCGATAAATCCTCTCTTTTGTCTTTATATCCCGGTCAACATGACAGAAACGGCGGACCGTAATTATGATGTGGGGCTGGGTTTTTTGTGTTTTCGGCGAAAACACTTGACCGAAATACTTGAACGGAAGAATTCTGTGAAAGAACTATAGTATTGTCGGCCAGTCAGTTTGATCTAATGCAATGACGTTCTGTCATCAATTGGGTTGATGATTGCACTGGATTCCACAAAAATAAATTCACCTATTTATTCAACTTGCCTAGATAGAACGTTTATGTACACCACTATTCATGTCCGACTAATTCTTATGTCGCGCCATTAGTCCATATTTAGAAAAAAAAGTTTTACCTTTTGCTTTCAAAAAATAAAGCAATTCCTTCAAAGTATACGCATAAAAAGAAGTGAAGGAAAAGGTCTCGCTTCTGTAAAGTAAAAGGTGTTAACGTATTCTTATTTATAAAAAGAAGCATTTCCTTAAAAACTAAAGGATTTGCTTCTAAAAAAGGAATCTAGGTTACAGCAACTTTTCTCACTTTATCATTAGTTGTCCCGGCATCTTAGAGCCTGCATCTTAAAATTTGTGCATTTTCGTTTAATAAAATCATGGCTTGTTTAAGTGATCTTTGGTTGATTAGTCGCAGTATTGTAATAGTTATGGCTAATGTGGTGCATTTACGTACAAGAAAATACTACAAACCAAGACGTACACCTCGTGAGTCAGATTTCAAGACGTTGTTTAGATTTGAGGAGGAAAATGTGGTGTGGTTGGCAAATTACTTTCTTGGCATGTATTTCGAAACTCGTGGAGCAGCTCGGTCACCTGTGCAGAAAATGAAAATTATTTCTGCGGTATTGTGCGAACCTTGGATTTCAGAGCGGAATAGCTGAAGAATTGGGATGTTCGCAGCACACAGTGTACAGAAAATTTCATGACGTGCTAGAGCGAATTGTACGGAGAATCTATCAGGTTCCCAAGTACAGAAAATCAAATTATGCAGGCCAAAGAGAAATGGTTGACCAGGTTCCGTTTTTCCAAAGCTATTGGAGTTATCGACTGCACGCATATTCGTCTTGATGGAAAACCAGCCCAATTTGTAGACGAATATGTAAATCAAAAAGGTTTTGCCAGTATTAATGTACAGGTTACATGCGACCAGAATTCTGTTATAACTAGTATAGATGCAAGTAGGCCTGGATCAGTCCATGATGCTCGTATATGGAAAAATTCGGCAGTGTGTGAAGTCATGAAAAAAACAAGAAACACTATTCTTCTAGGGGACAGTGGGTACGGTATAATGTCATGTCTTATGACTTCTTACACGGACCCCCACGAGGAATATCGGAGAGTCTTTAACACAGAGCGAGTTGTGATTGAGTATACAGTTGGGCAAGTAAAGCGGCGATTTCCTATCCTGAAGTATGGATGCAGAGTAGAAATGACCAGTATTCCAAAAGTGATAATTGCGTGTTCTGTGTTGCACAATATATCTAAGCAATTAAGAGATGAAGATTTTCAAGAAAATGACGAAGATGAAGAACAGGACTTGCCATTTATAGAGAATGAAAATGTAGATGCTATTCGCGCACAATGACAAAGGCGGCGAGAGGAATTAGCCCGTCTTATTACCAATAACAATATAGGTGTATAATTAGGATTAAAACTTTCATGTAATGCTATGTATATGTCGTTTAATTCAAACGTACAAAGATGTATTTACTTAAACTAAAAACAAACGTACACGTTTGAACTGGAAAAAAACGTTTAATTATTGCGTCGTTTTCCACCATAATGTCATCCTTTGAAGTAGGTAAAGAAGGTTGACTTGCCTCGCCAAAAAAAAACATGGATGACCAAAGGACTAATAAAATCTGCAAACGAAAAAGAAAGACTGTATAAAATCATGAAATATTTACCCACGAAAGAAAATATAGATCATTATAATCAGTATAAAAACAAATTTATAGAACTTTTGAGAAAAGCAAAAAAAAATTACTATATAAAACAATTGAATAATAATTCACATGACTCTAGACACCTATGGTCCACTGTCAATGATATTCAATAAGTCATCCTATTCAAAAAACAATATTAATGAAATAAAACAAAAACAGGACAGAAAACAGACAATATTCAGCAAATATGTGATGAGTTCATAGAATTTTTCACGAATATAGGAGGAAACTTAGCAATAATATCAAACAAAATGCTGATATTCATCTGCATGAAACAAGACTGAATAATTCATTTGTATTAACTGAAGTAGACTATCAGGATTTTCAATGCCATTATGACTCTAAAAAATAAAAAAGCCCTGGAGTTGACGAAATTAGAGCTGAACATCTAAGATACTGGCCAAACAAATAACAGAACCACTTGCTTATATCATTAACAATTCCTTCCAATCTGGAGTATTTCCATCAGCTTTCAAGACAGCATCATCATACCTATCTATAA